ACGCCATTGCCTGCTGCCCAGGGGAAGTCAGTGTGTGTGTGTGGGGGGGGGGGGAGGCACTTCTGGGGTATGCACGACCCACCTACCTGGACCCTTCTGGGGCCCACTGTGAGTTGGGGCCCACCATTTGGGAAACACTGACTTAGCACATTGGAGCCCTGGTCCTGGGCACTGCTGAAATATACATAATAATGACCTCAATCTGGATACTGTAATTCTTGCTGTTTTGCCAGTTCCGTGGTCGCTTTACAAGTTAGTCTGTATTTATCCGCTATACGTGAATTCATCCTGTGCAGAGGGCCACCCAATGCCTATGTACCACTTAATTCCCACTTAAGCCCCAAAAATAGGGTTTAAGTGGTGCATAGTGTTGCAGTTCCCCGAGAACTCAGTTGGACTCCAGTCTGGTCACTCAGGTTCTTTTTTTGGGGTCATACAGCAAAGCTATGCTGAATTGATCAGATTCAAGTGTAGGGGGTTGGTATAGGGCAGGGATCAGAAACCGTCGGCATTTGTGGCGGCGCTGTGCCTGTGGATGGTCAACGTAAATAAAATGTCTCGCAGCCTGCCAGCGGATTACTCTGATGGGCTGTGTGCCGAAGGCTGCCGACCCCTGGTATAGGGCGTACAACGCATCCAAAGTTACACTGCAACTTTCCTTTATACACATTTACAAACTACATTGCATTTACTATACATTGCATCACATGTTTTGGGATTGGCTTGGTCACTTTGTAGGAACCAATCCCTTTACAGCATTCTCTGTCCATGTAGAATTTATTCTTCACCCCGTCTTTATGTTTCCGACTTAACTTGTCCATTGTAAATGGTTCCCTGGGTGTTTTCCCACGTATCTTAGCCGGTGCAGACTTGCTGTTTTCGCCTGCTGATCCATTTACCTCTCTAACCCTATCTCCAAATAAATCAACTCTCACTCATGTCCAATTACTAACATCAAGCCAGGTCGACACAGATGTCTTTTGCTGTCTCTCTGCACGGGTGAATTTCAACCTAAATACTTTTATTAGTCCTGCAAACATGTAAACACCTGTGCAGCCTGTAATCCCATTAAGTTACTACTCCCATGAGTAAATTGACTCCCATGCTTAAGTGTTTGCAGGATCGAGGTCTACATCTGTGTTTTCTAACATGAAAACAAGGTCTTTATTTCAGCTTTCTAATGTGCTCTATTCCTTCTTGGCATATATTAGAATGGAGGATGTGTTTTCCTGTTCCTAGGCTGCTATTCTATAAATGAAACAATTCAGGAATTAGGAGGGCTGTTTCTGTAGTTCATTTGTTTATTTTTTCATTAGCGCGTATGCTTCTTTGACAAGAAGATTGGTCAGATTAAAAGAGAGTTGGCCCTCCCCAAAGTGTGAGGGATGAATACCCCTTCTGTCCCGCGTGAGCGTCGTCAGCTTGTGCCTTCTTTCAGCTGCCGGTGCCATAGGTTATCTTGGCTGGTTAAGGCTAGAGGGAAGGTACTAGTGAAAGTGATCAAACGTTTGAGAGGCCAGGCTTCCTCTGTGCATACATGTGTGGAACGGCAGCCTCTGTTCTAAAGTATTCATTCTGCAAATTACTGGCCAGCCTCTGCTCCTCCATTTGTGAGAGCGGTTATTGTGACTGAGCTGCCTTGTAGAAGAGAATTCCCAAAAGCTAAGGGTGCTCATCATTGTCCAGTTTCCCTGCTGTTCTGTCCCTTATCTTGTTGAACGTGTATGAGCCTGATGGGAGATAGGGGTACAGACTGGAATACAGGTGATACTAGTGACCTTTACCTCTGTGCCTCCTTTCCTGTTGTCCTGCTTTAACTATCTCTTGGTTTTCTTGCAGACAGATTCGTTTAGATGGAGGACAGTTGGCTGAAACTCAATCCCGATAAAGCTTATGTAATGTTTCTGGCACTTCCCGTTTTGAAGCGATTGTGGATGCTTTATGCACCTCCGTTATGCACAGGGCAAGGCCACCACTTGCGAGGGAGGTCAGGAAAATAGGGGTCATTCTGCATTGCTTTCCAGAATGGAAGCTCCTAGTACAACACTACTTCACAGTGGCTATCACTAGACTTGGAAATTGCCCAATTCTGTCTAATGCAGAACTCACTACAGCTATACCCACGTTCCTCCCCTCCTGGCTAGACTATTGTAATTGAATCCTGATTGGTCCTTGCTTGAATCTGATCCAGAGGCTACAATGGCTGCAGAATGCAATGCCTCTCATTTGCTTCATGGCATAGGGCAATGCAGTTAGCAATGCCTGGTTTCCACATTCTGCCTGTAATCCATATGATTCATTTCCAGGTCTTGCTGACAGTATATTAGTCTAGGCCTGTGTACGGCTGTCTCTCCCCCGTCAAGGCAGTTGAGGTCAGCTAGTGTGTCTTTGCTCTCCATCCTCACCAGGATTCCATGTGAAGCGGGCTGGGTTCAGGGAGCCCACTTATGGAACTCCACCCTTAAGATGGATGCCAGTCTCTTTCCAGGGAGTTTGGGTTTGAGGCCAAACTAGGACTGGGTACAGACTAACCAGTGCCAAAATCAAAGCTGAAATTTCTGTCATCTTGGGCCAAATCCAATCTGTATTTGGAAATTAGGACCTTTCTGCCTTTGGACCTGACACAGAGTCTAAACCGTAGGGACAGGTTCATCTCCAGGGGTTTGAATCTAAAACAGTCTTGACCTGGAGTTTGAGGAGGGCGGAGGTTCAGACTTGGATTCTGTTTTGGACCCTTCTCTAGTTAAAACTATGCTGAAGTAGAGTTGAAGAGTTCCCAGGCAGACCTGGGTAGAATTTACCAACTTGCTGATCTCAGTGTCTTTCTGTTTTTTAGTTGAAACACCCCCACCTTACAATGCAAGAGAAACACCAGGAAACCAAAATGGACGATCAGTGGATGCAACAGCTGACAATCAGTTAGTGCTATCATTGCCCAATGGAGGTAAATCTGCTGCTGGAGAAACTGAAAATATACAAGTATTTGTACTGCTTCCCAGGAAAAATTCTTAGCCAAAGAATTATTATATATTCTTCAGAGCAGGAAGGCCTATTGTTCTTTTTCGAGTGCTGGTCCCTATGTGTATTCCACATGTGGGTATGCATTTGCACCGTGCACTCAAGTCTGGAAATTTTTCAGAGCAGTGTCCGTTGGCCCGCACATGCACAGTAGAGCTCCTTGTGCTCTTGACCTAGGGTATAAGAGGCAGTGAGGGTCAACACCTCTCCAGTTCCTTCTTACTCCCACATAGTCTGAGTCAGACTCATGTCCTCCATCGCTCAGTTGTATAACTTGCAAAGAAAGAAAATATTTGTAAATAGTATATATTTTAACTTAGTAATTAGTAGTTAAATTTGTATTTAGCATAGAGTATTTCCTTTCCCAGGTTGGGGAACCTCCAACCTCAGGGACTGTGCTCAGATTCCCAGGATTCAAGAATTGCATCTCCCGCCCTTGCTCCTTTTCCATCAGATTGAACATCAGCGGTGCCTGTATTGTCTGGGTGAGGCACATATCTCTGCAAAGTTCAGGATCTGTCGCTCCTTCCTACCCAGAACTTGAAAAGCCTGTGAGCTTTGCCTATGAAAGCACCTGAGGGAGAAGTCTAGGTGGCCCTCATCTGTGCCCCTCCAAGCACATGCTTTGGAGTGGAGCCTTTGACATATAAGCCCAAGGACTCTTCTTGTAGGGCTCCCCATGAGAGTAGAGGGCACTCCTCATGGGCACAAGGACAGATCCCCACCGAGGACTGTCCACAAGAAACACCCTTCCTCCCTGAGCCTGTCCAGGTGAGGTGAAAAGTCGCCTACGGAACCAGCTCTGCTGGTGACCCCCAGATCGGAGGACAAGGCACATCTGTAACAGTGGGCTCTGCCAGATCTGAAGTTAAGGAGGCAGCCCAGGCTTGTCATTCAGTAGCAAGAGAGGGATTTAAGAATTCAGTGACTTAGGTACCAGGACAAAAGATTCTGATTTTATTTGCATCTGTGGGGTCACAAAAGTTAGAAGTAATAATGAAAACAAACCTCATTATCCAGGTTGTAGTGATGAAGATCAAATAAGGGATGAGGGGAGGGAGGAATGTGTAACGCAGCAAGAGCTGAGTCAAAATCAGGACCGATTTCTTTATTGACTTCAATTTGGGGTGAGTTACTTATCCATCGTAAAGCACTCTGTTTAGAGGCTTTAGTATTTCCATCTTTTTTTTTTAATGTCACATTGCTGTAATACATACTTATATTTTCTGAATAATAAGTAGTGTCACTAGTGCACAGAAAGAGCTTTACAGAAGGTCAGATCTTCCTCCCCATGCTTTGTGTGGGAGACCTAGTGAAAGCTGGGAGGGTTGTAAAGGCTAAAGGCTAGGGCATGGAACAGCTTTAGAGCCACTTTGTAACTTTTCTTCTTCGACTAGTGTCCCTATGAGTTCTCAACTGTAGGTGTATCTACATCCCTGCGCCTCTAATCAGAGATTTTAGGTAGCTGTGTCTGTTCAGCCCGCGCATGTGGTCTGCCTCAAGGCTATCAGTGCTGCATGGGCGAACCCCCCGCTGGGCTAAAAGAAGAAAAAGAACTTTAGTTTCCGTTTCCTGTTTTTTGGGAGGATCCTCCTTGTCCCTCCCCTCACCCTCGGAGTGTTTAGAGGTTATTCTAACTTCTCTTGGTTTAAAAAAAAAAAGAGAAGACGAGGACAGAACATCTTTTTTCTGCTAGAGGGTGATAGCTTCCACCTCCCCGGGGCATGGCTGGCTCTCCCAGCTTCAAGAGGTACCTCTCCTGCAAGGAGTCGATTTCTGTAATGGACAGACACTCTCATGATGTCCGGTGCCTGGGAGAGTCCCATATCCCTCAGAAGTGCTCCCTCTGCCACCAGCTAAAGCTGAGGTCTCGCAAAAACTGGGAGCTGAATAATAATATTAAATAAATAATAATATATGGAGATATCCTATCTCCTAGAACCTGAAAGGTCATTGAGTTCAGATCCCTAAGTGGTCCCCTCAAGGATTGAATTCACAACCCTGGGTTTAGCAGGCCAATGCTCAAACCACTGAGCTATCCCTCCCCCCAGGTTAAAAGTCCTCCTTATGGAGAAGGCACTTCAGCTGCCAGGGGACTCCGGTGCCGACCCCAGATCCTCCCCAGAGCCTTCAACTTCAAAGGGAGTAGAGATGCAGAAAAACCAGCAGATTCCCCCCATAAAGGCTCGAGGAAAAAGGGCTCCAAGCACTGTTGGCCTGTCAGAGGAATTCCCCAGTGCGATCGGCCACCTTGGTACTGGCGGCTCCGAAGTGCGGTACCCAGAAGCATCAGGGTGCCTCTGCTGTGAGCTCAGCCGCACCGCCTAGAGAAGTCAGGGCTCAGGCTTTGAGGCAGTGGTTCTGCCCCCGAGGAGAAAGATAAATACCGTATTGCCTCTAAAGGAGTAGCACTGAGTAAACCTTTACCAAATGTGTCAAAACTCACATCTAGGGAGTGCTCTGCATCTTGGCAACCATCGGTACCACAGACACTCTCTGTGGTACCGAGTGAGCCGATGATACTGCAAGAGTTACAGTACCCCAGCGACCTGATGGTTGGTTGAAGAAACACAGTCGCCCTTACTCAGTATCGGGGCCCCGGTACCAAGCACATCCCAGTGCCCGGAATCGTCCTCAGCACCAGGCCTTATGCCACCAATATCTTGGTCAACGCCATCCTTACCCAGTGATGAGCCTGACAGTGACCAGGAGGATGTCATTTCCCTAGCTTCTCACCGTGGCCTGCCATCACAATACAAGGGTCCTCAATTCCATTGAGCCAACCCATGATTGTGCTATAGGCCCCCCTTGGGCTTCTCCGCCATCCATGCCTTTCCCTCGCCTATGTCTGTATTGGGATCCTTGGGCGACATACACATCCCACGTGTCAAGGGTGTCCATTGTCTCTCAGAGAGAATCCACCAAATGGTCCCCTCTGGCCTCTCTGTCCAGAGCCCCTGAGCCAGTGGAGGAGGAAGCTTTGGAAGAACAGGAAGAAGGACTTGAAGGAGAAGCTACCCCTCCTGAAATCTTCTCCTTATCTTCACCAGACGAGGCTGTACTACCCCCTTCTTCCCCCCCCAATCATTTAAAGATGATTTTAAGACCAAGAGAGTGGCAGATGAGCTGTAAATTCGCCTGCAGGAGGTGACAGACACATTGTAAACTGGTGAATATTCTGCACACTGCCTCTTCATCCAGAATTGCCCTCCCAATTAACGAGATGATTCTAGATCCTCCCAAAATCATCTGGCAGACACCAGCCTCCATTGCACCAACCTGCGAGAAAGCTTGACAGGAAGTACTACATCCCTCCCAAAGAGGCAGACTTTTAGAGTCACGAACTACCAAGCTGCCATGGCCAAATAAGATTTTATTAATTATGTGAAACTTAGTGTATTTGTGGATCATCTTCCAGAGGTACAAAAGGAGCAGTTTCAGGCCATTGTCAGAGAGGGCCAGTTAGTAGCTAGAACTGTGCTACAGACAGCACTGGGTGCAGCCAATACAGCGGTCCACTCAGTCTCCATGGCAGTGGTAATGAGGCCGGCTTCCTTGTTACACCTTTCCAGGGTTGCCCAAAGAACTGCAGACGATAGTGGAAGATTTCGTGTTTGAAGGGGCCAAGCTCTTTGCGAATAAGACATACTCCTCTCTCTACACCCTGAAGGATTCCCGGCCCCCATTACGCTCTCTGGGAATCTACACTGCAGGACAAAAGAGAAGATACAGCTCTCAACCACAGCAGAGGTCATGACCTCCTCAGTACCCACCGTCACAGCACGATTACAAACTGCAGCACAAAAAGCCCGCAGTACAAAATTGGAAGCAGTCAGCATCCCAATCCGCATCCTCTCTGCCCTCCTCTGCTGAACACTTTTAATGGGGGTTGAGGGTCCAAATAGCTATTTCTTGCAACATCAGATGACTTCTACCTGTCATGTCCCTTTGGAAGTCGCCTGGCCCTCTTTCAGAGCAGTTGGGACAATATCACCTCTGACAGATGGGTCTTGGAGATTATTTCAAAGGGTTATGTCATTTAATTCCCTTTCCCTCTTCAGGGACCCTTTTCATGAGAGCCTACTTCACCATGAAAATAGATGTATTACACTTAGGGGCCATAGAACCAATCATGACGCAACTCTGAGGCAAGGAGTTCTACTCATTGTTTCTTGATTCCCCAAGGTGAAGGGAGTGTAGGGGCCCATTCTAGATCTAAGGGCACTAAACAAATACGTGAAGGCACAAAAGTTCCAGATGATCACCCTAGCAGCCATTATTCCAGCTCTGGAGTAAGGAGATTGGGTTGCAGCCTTCGACCTACAAGATGCCGACTTCCAGATCTTCACCTTCACGAGTTTCATAGGAACAGTCCAGTCCAGCTCCCAAACATCAGCTAGGAGCTTTCTGCAGCTGCTAGGTCATAGGGCAGCATGAACCTTTGTCACTTTAAATACCCAGATGTTCATGAGGTGTCTTCAGATGTGGCTCAATTCAGTCAATTCTCCAAACAGGGACAGACTAACCAAACTGCTATCAGTGCCCTGCATAGTAAAATACTCTCTGGACAGGTGGAAAGACCCATCCAACTTTCGAGCAGGTGTTCCATTTGTGCAACCACCACCAATGCTGACTCTAACAACAGATGCTTCCCTAATAGGCTTGGGAGCCCACCTACATGACCAAAAGGTTCAGGGCAAGTGGTCTTCCACAGGAGCGGCCCTCCATATCAATCCTTTGGCCGTAACAGCAGTCAGGAACGCCTGTGCACACTTTCTGCCATTCATCAGAAATAACCACACAAAAGTCTTGATGGACAATATGACTATATGTTTTACATAAATCACCAAGGGGGGTCACCAGATCTCTCTCCCTCTGCATGGAAGCACTCAAACTTTGGAATTGGTGCATCCATCACAATGTGCTTATCTCAGCTGTGTATCTGCAGACTGTGACAGCTGACAGTCTGTTGGAACTGTTCTCATGACTACGAATGGGAACTGAACTCAAAGGTGCTTCGCAACATATTCACCCTTTGGGGAACCCTACAGATCTTTTTGCTACTTACTGAAACAAGAAACGTCCTCGCTACTACTCCAGGGCTGGCCTGGGGACACATTCACTGGGAGACGCAGTCATCCTCCTATGGGACAGGGGCCTTTTGTATGCCTTTTCCCCCATTCCCTCTCTATCCAAAGTCCTGTTGAAAATCCAACGAGACAAAGTGAGAGTTATTCTGATTGTCTCTTCTGGACAAGACAAGTCTGGTTCCCTTGTCAGACACACATGACGGTATACCCTCCGGTTCCTCTTTGGCCCATTCCTCCGTTGCTCTCTCAAAACAACAGGAGGAGCCTTCACCTCAATCTGCGGATCCCCTACCTCCATGGTTCACTCCTTTGTGGTTCCAAGACTAAGAGGTAGAGTGCTCTGACGAGGTGAAAGATGTGTTGCTATACAGCCGAAAGTTGACCACTCAACGTACTTACCTACAAAAATGGAAATAATTACAAATTTGGTGTCATTCTAAGCACATATACCAGGCCTTGTACTCTCTCCCTCTGGTTTTAGACCTCAAGAGGTCAAAACGCTCGCTCCACTCCCTTCAGGTACATCTTCAGTCGTAATGGCCTTCCACCATCAAGTAGACGGATACTCGGTGTTCGTTCACCTGCTGATGCATAGATTTTTTTTAAGGCATTGGTAATCTCTTCCTGCATATGAGACCACCCTCTCTGACCTGGGATCTTAACCTAGAATTAGACCTCCCTTTCAGCCCATGGCAACTTGCTCTCTCTTTCACCTGTCGATGAAGACAGCATTTCTAATTGCCATCACCTCAGGTAGGCGCATAGGAGAAATTGCGGTCCTGATTGTACACCCCCTATTTGTGGTCTTTTTTTAAAGACAAAGTAACCCTGAGGCTGCATCCCAAGTTTCTCCCTAATGACTAAGGACTTTCTTTCATTCGCAGAAAGACACAAAGGCTCCATGATATTGGCTCAAAGACTACCCAAAAGGGTCTTGGGTTGCATTAATCTCTGTTATCAAGGACTCAACCCGTTGCCTCCATCCGGACGTACGCACTCCACAAGGTCAATTTCTACCTCAGTTGCACTCTTTAAAGATGTCCCTATCTCAGAAATCTGCAGAGTAGCAACTTGGGCCTCTGCCCACACTTTCACAGAACAATATGTGCTCGCTGGAGATTCGGCCTCCGACGTCATCTTCCGTTCCTTAGTACTCTCTGTAGTAACAGACTCCACTGTGAAGCCCCAGCCCTCCATGGGGGATACTGCGGTGAAGTCACCAATGGCGGAGCACCCATAGGGACACTATTCAAACAATAAAAAGTTACCTTGTGCAGTAACTGAGGCTCTTTGAGAGGTGTGTTCCTATGGGTACTCTACAACCTGCCCTTCTCCCCTCTACTTTGGAGTTCTTAATATGGGGCTCTGCGGTAGAGAAGGAACTGAGGGGGGTTTCCTACGCTGCGCTAGAAAGCCTCGAGGCAGACCACAAGGGAGGGAGAGTGCATGTGCGGGCTGAACAGACCTAAAATCTCCAATTAGAGCCGCAGAGTCACAGATGTATCTGCAGTGGAGCATCCTTAGGGAGACACATCTTGAAGAACCATCATTACTGCAGAAGGTGAGTAACTTTCTCTTTCTACAGCCTCTTGGCTGCAGTAATGACTACAGACCTCAGCTTGCAGACCTACTGACTTGCTCCTCCCTTAGCCACACATTCACCTGTTTCAGAGACCACCACCGTGGAGCAGTGCCCCATGGAATCTATGGTACGAGGAGTCCCTCTGCTCTGGTTTCCTATGGCCTGCTCTGAGTGCAGTTGTTACGATTGCTCCTCGTACTGCAGTACTGCACAGACACCAGGTTCAGGGCCTGGCTGTGCTGAGCACTGTGCAAACACATATTAAAGTACAGTCCCTGCCCCCAAAAGCTTACAATCTCAATTAAGACAGGAAGTAACAAGTGCATGTAGCAGACAACTGGAGGGGAGGGAGGATGAGGGTAACAATGCTAGGAACATGTGGGTACATATCACACCCATGTGACAGCCACCAGGTTTCCAGTCATCTTTCCTCTCCTCTCCCCCACCACAAATAAATACTCCCAGAAACATTAAGGACATCATTGATTCCTGCTGGCCACCTGCCTAGCTACTCTCAGTTGGAAACATATTGTACATTTCACAGCAGGAGTAGGTTTCACTGCTTTTTGGGTCTCACATGCCCATGGCAGGGGGACAGGTTAATTAATGCTCATGGGACAAATAAGATTCAGTACAAATAAGCACCCAGATGGATCCTTAACCAGACTTTGAGTCTGCAAAACTTGGGGTTCCAGCAAGAACGGCCTTTCGTGTGGCATTTTGGCATTTCTGCCTGTACTCTCAGGTGGAAACAGGCCATCCTGAGGTGTGTGAAAATGAAAAATAAGAAATAAAACAGAGGAATGATACATGCAAACCTCCTTGCTTGGCGTTAGGTTTAATCACACATTGCATGAAGGCTTAGCTCGCTTTTTTTGTAAAACTGAACCAGTTTGCTCATTCCTGGCTCCTGTTGTTTGTCAGAGATACAGTGCACATAGCTTTGCAGTGCCCGGGCAGTTAACTCAATCTGCACATGCTCTACTTTAAGCATAAGAGTTGTCTCACTGGAGTCTCAGTGGGACTACTCACATGCTTCCAGTTAAGCACATGCTCAAGTTCTCTAATGTTCTCCCTTTGGGAGCACTAGTCAGCAAACTAAGAAGAAATGGAATCTGCTGTTGAGACTGCCTCTGACGAAAAGTGACTGATTAGATGGAGATCATGGTCTGAGAGAGTTTGGATAGAAAAACAAGCATTACTGTGACCTAGGCACCTGATTTATTTTATTTCCTACAGACTTTCGACCTGTTTGCTATGAGGAACCCCAGCACTGGTGCTCAGTTGCCTACTATGAACTCAACAACCGAGTAGGGGAGACTTTCCAGGCTTCTTCTCGGAGTATTCTTATAGATGGATTCACGGATCCTTCAAATAACAGGAACCGATTCTGTCTTGGACTGCTCTCTAATGTCAACAGGAATTCTACTATAGAAAACACCAGGCGACACATAGGAAAAGGTAAGAGCAAATTCCCTCTTATTGGTAAGGAACAGAGCTTGGAAGAACGTCCATGGTCTAGAACTAGAAAAGTCTGTCTGTCCGTTGTATCTGTCTATCTAACTAACAAACATGAATGTAAAGCCACCTGCTCGGCTTCTTTCTGAAGCAGTAGATGAGGCATTGGCTCTTTACTGGGAAGAGGGTAGCTTTTTACACAGATTATTTACTTGGCCTACATGGAACCCATAATTAAAAACAAAACTTTGCTCTAACTTAGAAGTATGTGTTTTCATTTGTATTTATCAGAACTTCTGGCAACGGAGAATATTGCCATTGAAATGTCACTAAAAAAATAATTATTGGTCCCTGACTGCTGGTTTTTCTATCACCAGAAAGCAGGTGGAGAGAGACAACATGCTAACTAGCTGAGCTATAAATTTAGATAGACTGCTAAAGTTTCCTCTGTTGCTTTTTTTTCTCTTGTTAAGGAAACCAGTCCAATCTGATTCTGTGTTTCTAGGGACTTTTACCAGTTAAATCTAAGAGAAATCTAAGGTTCTTTTTCAAGTGATTGCCCACATGTATTCCACTTCCATTGAAGTGCACGTGTTCCATACACATACGACTGAATTCTTTTGGCCAGCAGTGTCCATTGGGGCCATGCCTGCACTCTGTATGCCCTCGTGTCCCCCTCCTGAGACCAGAAAGAGCAGAGCAGGTCCAGCCGTCCATCAGTTCCTTCTGATCGCCTGTGACAGTAAGACCAAACCCCTGCAGTGCCGCTTCTCTGTGCATTGTGTGACTTTGCCTACTCATGTATATAAATTAATTGTAGATAACGTCATTAGTATAGTTGCCATTTTTCTCTTACACCTGCTAGGTTTAAAACAAATATATATATATTTAGTGTCCTTAGAGGCTTCTCTGGTACCAAGACTGCTGTAGCTGAAACAAAATCCCTGGAGTTCAAAACTTGCCCCTCCTGTGATGCAACTATTCTACTCAATGAGCATTTTAGGTGTCCTTTTGCCTTGAAGAGGGGCACATCCCCATCAGATTCTCCATCTGCCCACCCCTTCTCCAAGAAGACACAGAAGGCTGCTCCTTGCTGCAGCTCATCTCTGTTAGCAAGTTCCAAATTGGGTAAAGCTTGCCCAGTTGCCAGTATTTAGTGGAAACTTCTAGTCTGTGGCAGCCAGGTTGCTGGACATCTCTTTGATCTGTCATGTCTTTCCTCCCTGGGAGTTTGGCATCTGGACATCCCAGCTTGCCTGGAGTTTTTGCAGTTGTTGCTCCAACAGAGATTTGACAGCCCTCAGCCCTTTCTGGGAATCCTCCAGATGCTGCTGTAATTTTGTTTTGTCAAGCTTCCAGGTCTTGTTTTAAATTCCTTTGAGAAAACTCCAGCTCTGGTTGTATGTCTTGTTTAAAATCCCACTGGTCATTTTTGATTCTGCAAGCACCTCCTTTATTTGTTCCGTCTTGGTTCAACAGGAATCCAGCTCACAGTCTCTTTCTCTCTCTCCTTGGAAACTGGATGCCGCTCTTGGCATCAGCATGGCCCCTTTTCAACCTGAGCGGCTAGTCACATTTATGGGGCCCTGAGGATGTTCCAGCTGGAAGTAGAAGTTGATGGATTCTGATATTCTCTTTGATGCAGTCTCATTTATTTACTAGGAATGTACAAAGTCCTCCTTCTCCGAATGCAGGAGGAACCCAGAACAAAAGGAGCAGTTTCTTAGTTTACAGATCCAAGCCTTTTTAGTCCACAGCCCCAAAAAATCTCTCTAGCTTTTTCCAGGGTCACATGGTGTTCATAGGCTACTGCTTGGCCTTCTTGCTTTTTTTCTCTCTCTCTCTCTCTCTCTCTCTCTCTCTGTTCCTGTCTTTTTCAGTCTTGTATCGCTTCTGACATTCCTCTCCCTCCCCCATACACACCTACCCAAAACAATATTCAGCCAAAAGCTTTTGGGTGGATTCACACTCACCTACAGTCCTCAGCTTAAACCTCTCCAACGCATCATCACTGATCTACAACCCATCCTGGACAATGATCCCTCGCTTTCACAGACCTTGGGAGGCAGGCGAGTCCTCGCCCACAGACAACCTGCCGACCTTAAGCATACTCTCACCAGCAACCACACACCGCACCATAACAACTCTAACTCAGGAACCAGTCCATGCAACAAACCTCGATGCCAACTCTGCCCACATATCTACACCAACAACTCCATCACAGGACCTAACCAGATCAGCTACATCATCACCGGTTCATTCACCTGCACATCCACCAATGTTATATATGCCATCATGTGCCAACAATGCCCCTCTGCTATGTACATTGGCCAAACTGGACAGCCACTACGTAAAAGGATAAATGGACACAAGTCAGATATCAGGAATGGCAATATTCAAAAACCTGTAGGAGAACACTTCAACCTCCCTGGCCACACAATAGCAGATGTAAAGGTAGCCATCTTACAGCAAAAAAACTTCAGGACCAGACTCCAAAGAGAAACTGCTGAGCTTCGGTTCATTTGCAAATTTGACACCATTAGATCAGGATTAAACAAAGACTGTGAATGGCTAGCCAACTACAGAAGCAGTTTCTCCTCCCTTGGTGTTCACACTTCAACTGCTAGCAGAGGACCTCACCCTCCCTGATTGAAACAACCTCGTTATCTCCAGACTGATTCTTGCCAGCATATGTATACCTGCCCCTGAAAATTTCCATTACATGCATCCGACGAAGTGGGCATTCACCCATGAAAGCTTATGCTCCAATACATCTGTTAGTCTTAAAGGTGCCACAGGACTCTCTGTTGCTTTTTACACTCTCCTTGTATCTTAGATGGGGATTTATGCTCATAGGCATGTTAATTGAAGGGTGAGTTCACACCTATCAATCTCAATGGGGGTTTAACTCAACCCACAATAAGGTTTCACCCAGCTCATAACAATATCTTCCTGCCACTTCTGTGACCAGCAAATGGATCACCAGTTTTAACCTTCTCAAAATAAAACAAAGCATGGAGTTTTGGATTTCCTTCTCTCTCTTCATAGACCACTGCTTTCTTTTTTTGTTACTTCTCTCTCTGAGGGGATCAGAGTAATTGGGACATTTTAACCAAGGCTATGTCTACACTACCACTTTTGGCATAGTTACTGCCACTCGTGGAGGTGGTTTTATTATGTTGATGGGAGAGCTCTCGCCCACAGGCATAGAGCAGCTACACAAGTGATCTTACAGCGGCACAGCTGCAGCGATACAGTGTAGACATGGCCTAAGGCTCAGTTAAAACAGGCCCTTACCGTCTACTGAAATCAACAAAAGTTAGAAGCCTAAATGCCTTTGTGGATTTGAGCCTAATGATCTTCTGTTCTGTGACTGGTTCTCTTCCTTGTTCACACAACTTTGAATCAGCACTTGCCATGAAATGATTGTCAAGTATCAGAGGGGTAGCCGTGTTAGTCTGAATCTGTAAAAA